CCCCAAAACCCCAAAACCCCAAAACCCCAAAACCCCAAAACCCCTATTCAAAATGGGTAATTGAGTCCGTTTAATTTTTCATGAATCTGGCAATTCTTATTTCCTGCTCCCAAAGTGATCAGTGCTCTTCGACTCTGGCCGCTTGAGGTTTACCTTTAGCTTCTGCTTGTTGACCAGATAAGCACCTCTGAAACCTGCCCCTGCTGCTATCCGATTCTCTTTTATTTTAATTTTATCCTTATAACCAGAATGAGGCCTTGTCTTTGTAATCATGCTAAATACACCATATTTCTTGTACAAGGCTGCTACTTCTGGATTTATTTCAGATTTCTTAACTAACTTATTTACACTATAAAATATTAAACAAGTACTTACGAACTGGTCACATCGATAGACTTGAACGACTTCCTGGTATGAGAATTCATAATTGTCATGTCTATAAAAGTTCAAAGTAACAGACTTACTATTTGTGCCTCCAGGAGGGACATAAATCTCCTGGTTGTCATAATCAGCGATTTTAGTTAGCCCTTCCTTAACAATGCTTTTCTTCTGCTTGTTTACATCCAAAACTCTGTTTCTGAAAAGTACAGTGTTATATGATTTGAATGCATTTTTGTATTGGAGGATATGCTTCAAAGTGCAATGATCCATCTTGCGTTGCTTCTGCCTCTGCTTGGCATTCTTGAATACCTTCCTTTTAAGCTTATTAGCCTCACTGTTCGGGTCATTATTCCTATCAGTACGAACACTATCTGTTAAGAAGAATGTTTACCTGTTAAAATAAGATGACTGGCTCACATTTTCTATCTGAGGATTATTCATATGGAATGAGCTATCTTTACTAGTATTGAGCTTCCTTGGGTAATGAACTCTCTTGTTCATCCCAACTTGGGCTGTATTTGGCTTTTTCAGGATACCTTTAGGAGACATTGAGTTAATCCGATTGATCCTTTGTGACTGATGGCTCTCAATTGCAGGAGTCTTAGCTCGGGAAGTCAATTCCTGATCCTTCTGTACCTGGTTCTGAAGATCTTCCTTGCTTGTCTCCCTTGAAAAGAAAGGAAAATTAGAACTAAATGATCAATCTAGGATCTGAACTGCCTGAGTATTTGATTCTTTCTCAGTAAGTAAAGTTTGTGCTAACTTATTAGCGGTATTAGGCGGCTGAGTATCATCATTTATTAATACAGACTCTCCTGAAGTTCCTTTCAGTTTGGTCGTATTTCGGAATAATGAAGTGTTATTCATAACATTTACGTCTCTTTTTCCACCAGAGAAAGGATGCTGAACTACTCTGTTATCCCCAAAAGGATTTATCTTAATAAGTTTGGTCTTTCACGCCAGCTTTGACTGCAAATGAGTCTTATTCTTTGCCAGAGCTGAAATTGACTTATAGTCTGTCGAAAGTGAGGCAAGCTTCTTTATTTTCTCACGTAATTTTTCTCTTGAAAGAGATTTAACAGAAGTACTTGAACAGCCAGGTTTAGCATCAGTAGGACCCATCCACGCTATATTGTTGGTTGAGTATTGCTTCAAAGTGCAGTTCTCAGTATGCGAGTTTCTCATACTGCTCCTCGCTCCACTAGTCTTTGGGCGTTGCATTCTCTGTCGTAGGATAATCGGATTAGTATAAATCTGGCCTTTATCTTGATCAGAATTCTTATCAAGTTGAGAATTCATATTGAATTAATTAAAATCTAAAATATATTTCCATTAAAATTATTATTACAGGGGTTTTGGGGTTTTGGGGTTTTGGGGTTTTGGGG